GAGCAGAGATCCACTGTGCCACCAGCCTGAGCCCCCTCACGTCACCTGCTCCCCCTCCCAACTCATCAACCCCCTGGAAACAGAGCCAGGGGGAGCCAGGGGAGCCAGGGGGAGCCAAGGGGAGCCAGGGCCTCGGGCTGGCCTCTCCCATCGCCACCCATCTCCCTCTCAAGCTCAGACCCTCCCAGCACACAGCGGCACCAAGCTCTTTGATTACGTATTCCTCGGCAATGAAACATTTATCTCGCAACCCCAAAGCACTCATATTTATTAAATCATGGCGTGTGTATCTGCAGTCCATACGTTAAATATTGAACATCCCTTCTCCTAGGCAGGGATGATGTGAAAGAGAAGTTCTGGCACTTTCTTCCCACGCCCAGCCACTGGCTGAGGCTCTGCAGACACCCAGCCCTGGGCTCAGGGTGAATGGGGAGCCAGGAGCTGGGGTCCATGAACGTCCCAGCTCAGAAGGGCGAGTCGGCTCCTGGGCTCACACAGGTTACCTGAGTGGAGCCAGGGGTGCTGTGTCCCATCCCTTCCCCAAATCCCACTCTGCCACCCCCACTGGAGGCCTGAGGGGCCCCGGACCACGCCATTCCACGGAGCACAGGCAGCGGGAGATGCCACAGCACCGGCAGGGGCCATAGCCAGGAGGGCCACACTCCCCCACAAGCCAGCGGGCTGGGGCCGGTCCCTCCCTACAGGCAGGGCAGGTGGAGCGTGTGCCAGGGGACGGCCCCAGGCTCCTCCCTTCCTCACAGCCACTCAGGCGGCAGGAGGGCAGCAGGCGCCTGGCAGGGCCCTGAGCGCCTCCAGGCTCTCAGCCTCGGGTCAGGCGGGTGGTTCTGCCCGGGGCTGTCACGTGCTCGGGCCCCTGGTGCTGCTGGGCTGAGCCCTGGGCCCTCAGGAGACTGACCTTGGCTTTCAGGGACGAAGACTCTGGCTCCAGGGAGGCCTCTCCAAGGGAGGCCTGGGGCCCACCCAATCGGGCCTCCAGGCCACATCCCAGGGCCTCTGGGGCCCACGCTCCCCAACTTCCATCCTGAAGTCCCCCTTTCCCAGGGCGGTATCCCCGCCCCCTTCCTAAGCTCTCCTCAAAGGCCGCCCAGCCCCACCTCAGCCTCCCTCCCTCAGGCCTGCCCCCAATCTTGGGGCTCCTGACCAAGGCCCCACAATGCGGTCTGCGTCCCAGCTCTCAGTGGTAACCCCAAGGCTGGCTGTGCCCTAGGTCCCTGGAGAGGCTGAGGGTCCAGGCGCCAGTGCTCCGAAGGACCCTCCACCCAACCAGGGGAGGGCGGCCAACACCAGGGACGCTGCGGTGGCTGGGGGGAGGCCCCGCGGGAGACCACTAGCACCAGCCAAGAGCCCGGAAGCCAACCCCAACAACACCCAGGCCAGCGGCGCCATCTTCTCCCCCATCTCCCTTCTAGCGGTCTACGGGTGCGCCATTCCCACCCAGCTCCCAGCAGACCGGCCCAGGAGAGGGCCCAGACCGCCACCTCCCAGCCACCACCCTCCTGCCTTTGTGACGTCAGGGCCCAGCTGGGCACGGCTGCGCGTGGACCCTTCTAGGTCAGGTCACCGTGTGTCAGCGGTCCCTGGCCTCCTCAACACCCCGAGGCCAGAAGGGAGGGCGCTGGAGCCGACGGGCTCTGGGAGGGGCAGAGGTGCAACCCACACTCTGCCCTGATGCCTGGCAGCTGATTTCCTTCTGATACTCGGGGGGGGGGGGGGGCTCCCCATCAAAGGAGCCTCCAGTGGGTACACAGGAGCCACACCACACCCCCCGAGAGGAGGGACCACAGCCCCGAGATCAGGAGGGTGGAGCATGGAGGGCACCCCCTGTGACACCCAGAGCCCAGGCAGATGGAAGGCTGGGAGACCCCTGGTTCTTCATCTCTGGCAGCACCAGTCTTCACTCCAGCAAGGGCCCTTCCCTGCCCAGAGGCTCGCTCTGCCCTAATCCTCTCCTTCCCGCTGCTCCCCAGGGCAGCTCCACAGAGTGGGGTTCCAGGCTCCAGAGCTGGGCAGACAGAGGGCTGAGCCTGGCTCCCCATGGGGCTGGGTGCCCCAGGGAAAGGCACTGGGCCGCCCTGAGCCTCACTCCCCCTGGGGGTGGAGCAGGGATGGGGACATCAGCTTCCCAGGGTCTGCAGGCTCCCCTCCCTCTCCGCCTCCTCTGCCTCTGGGCCTGAAGGCAGGGCGCTTCCCTGGCTGCAGTCAATACCAGCCATAGACATAACAGGGCACTGGGGAGGAGAGGGGTGGGGCAGGGGCTTCCGACCCACGACCTCTGACCTTCCCCCCCCTCCCCGCCCGCCAATCTTCATTTGGAGAGCCTATGAGAACCCAGCTCCCTGGCTCTTAGGTGTTGGGTGGGTTTCGGGAAAGGAACCCTGACTGACTTCCAGAGTCCTAGCCCCGAAACAAGGATGGGGACACAGACAGAGGGGCCTCCAATCCACTCCCGCCCCGTCCCCCAGATGCCCTCTTGGGGTCCTCCTGTGGCAAAGGGGATGAGAGGCTGCCATCACCAGCCTTCCCAGCATCCCCATCTCGGACCCTCTGCCTAGAAAGACCACGTGAACTCTCCCCAGCGAACTGCGCCCCCAGCCTCATCTTCAGAGGAGCGACAGCTCTATGTGGCTCTGAGGCGCCTACGCGATGGTGGCCGCCCACTGACTTCCCACAGACACACACGGCCGTGGAGCAGGGAACCAGCCGCATGAGCGCCTGGGCTCCCAGGAAACCCTCCCTGGGCCCCCACAGCCCCCAGGAAATCCCTAGGTTCCGCCGGAGCCATGGGACCCATTCCCAAGCGCCCCCAGCTCCACTCACATACAGCCCTGAGCATGCATGTCCAACTTGGAGTTCCCAACCATCTCGCTCAGACCCTCCTGCCTCCCGGGAAGCTGAGAGCCTGGCCTGCAGGATGGGAGAGGACAGTTGGGTCCCCTCTGTTTTTCCTGCCCTCCCCCCGCCCTTTGCTGTTTATCATGTCCTCTCCAGCCAGCCCGGGCACTGAAGGTGGTGAGGGGCTGATCGGCTCGGCCAAGATATGGGTCAGGCTTGTCTCCTGGGCTGTACACTCCCCTGGAATTGCTGGCTGCGAGAACGCTAGCAGAGACTCCATTAGCCGCGAGGGCTGGCGGGCTTGGGAGAGCGAGGGCTGCAATTCCTCCTGGCTTTGCAGCCCCATCACTGGGGCTCAGGCACAGGGAGGGCTGGCGCCAGGGAGAGCACCGCCAAAGGCAGATTCGTCACCCCCCCGCCAAGTCCCCCAAACGCCTTCTCAGACTCCAGCGAGAACCCTTCCCAGCATCCCACCCACTTCACCAGTCCCCAGGGGGTGGGACCTTGGGAGGAGACAGGCCAGAGCTCCCTCCTGAACCATGGAGGGCCATCCCCACCCTTCTCTGGTGGCCGGAAGGGAGGGGGTCACCTGGCCGAGGTCAGGGGAAGGAAAGATGGGCAGGCTCCCTGAACCCCAAGTTCCTTCTCCCTGCCCAGGCTTCCCGCCCCTTCCCTGCCAAGGAAAAATAACCCGAAAAGCACAGGCCACCACAGGTCTCACTTATGGAGGGCAGAACCACACAAACGCAGGTCAGAGTTCAATTTCCAAATAAACACATCTGCACGATCTCATCAGAAGCACCGGCTGCAAAACAAGCAAGCCCTCACTCCCTTCACCATCCTCACTCCCAGTCCGAGCGGCTCTCCAAGCCCAACAGGGCGAGCTGTGGGCGCCCAGATGCAGAGGAGGGGAAGCGGGGAGGGGTCTGGGAAATGCCCAAAACGGGGTTGGGGAGGACAGGCAGAAGGCAGGCAAGGGTGGGCGTCCGTGATGGCCTGGCCCTGTCCAAAGCTTGCCCCCAGCCCCCAGCAGCCAGCTCTCAACTTGTTTACTTGTCAGCGTGTTTTGCTCTTTCCAAAAGGAAACAGTTAAACCTCTTGGCCGGATGGCCGGCAGCCCCTGCCACCTTCCCTTCAGGCTCAGCGCTGCCGCTGTCCCTGCCACCACCGACACGGCTGCCACGGACTCGAACCTCCTCTACTTTATTCTACTTGAGCGTGGCCAAACTGTTGCTGTTTAGTGGGGGGAAAGAACGCGACTGGCACCCTGGAAACCAGCCACAGCGTGGGGTGGGGAGCGGGGGCGGGCGGCCCCCCCATCCTCCCTGGCGGGGGTCTTCTCCCGGGAGGCACACAGGCAGGCGGA